CTTTAGAATGATAGGTTCTGTAGTCGGTAGTTTGTACAGAGTATTCAGGTTCGTCCACGGAGGTTTCATATTCTCCCTCAGAATTTTACTCATAGACCTGTAGCAAGCGCAGTGATTTAGCGTGTTATAACTTCAGTCGGATAATTGGTAATCATACGCTGGCAACATTTGATTCAATGGTTCTGTCAGCCAAGTTGGGTTCTGCCAGAGCACTAGCATCGACCTGAACTTGGATCATGATGCCGACATCTCAGTAGAATAGCCTCACACGCAGAGGTTCAGGATTCCAGATCCTATGCGTTTTGTTAATGAACTGTCCAATCATGTCCAATCTTTGCCTTGCGGTCTCATGTTCTTGCCCCTTCTCTTTCCCTGTGAATGAGGAGATGTCCCAATTTCCGACTGTGAGCCCCCACTGTCGGCGTCGTTCCAGCGGAACTCTATCGGACTTTCTAGAATGGCATTGCTCCCTCAGCCTCCTACATTGTTGACTGGTATCTTCTCTTCTTCTTGTTGATCTTCAGCAATCGTCGCCGTGTTGCTATGCTTCTAACTGACGGAAGGCTTGTAGGAGTTCTGATCGCTGACTTTTCACAGTCTGCTTCGGTTCCTCAATGGGCTGCTGGCCTCTTGGTAACCCGATTGACACCACGCTGGTACAGCGTTTACGGCAATACTATAAAGTGAAAGTGGCTAGGTTTTGCTGGAGACTTCGGCACCGTCCCTGGCCTTCTTACTTTCTCATTCGGACTTTGTACTAGGAACGACGGAGTTCTGATTTCATCAAATATAAAATATATCTGGATTAACAGGAGGATTATGGATCTAAAATATATTTATTAGTCTTCTTCCTGCTGTAGTTAGATCTTATGTTAATACTGCTTATACGTTGCTCGAAGTCATTTTTTTCAATTCTGAACATGACTGAGCCATCCGAGACGATTAGTGTTTTTAAATCTGATATCGAAGGCGAAATAATTCCTATGTACCACGTTATTTATTTTGATTGAATGACACGATAGATTAGTACGTCCTTTCAGTGAGTCTTGAAATATTTTACCGGTATTAATGTTCATTGGAATGCTAGTAAATGACTGAAAACATCTAAATTGACCATAAAATTTCCTGGTTTAATCTGCTGCAGAACTTTGAAACGAATTTCGACGCATAGCAAGTTCAGCTCCTGTGAAGATATTGAGTATTTCCTAGTTAGTTTTGGAACATGTCGAAGAATTCAGTTCATATTAATGATTATAAGCCGTAAAGGAACATTGGTTTCACTTTAGACAGGCAGCAAAAGTACTATGCCAGGTAAGTGTATTAAATCTGATAGAAGTTCTGTTACCCTTTAAGGACATATTGCTTGAAAAATTTCCTTGCTTAGGGTTCGCGAACAAGGTTGGTTTGATATCCATAAGAAATAAGATATGCCAGCCACTTCGTCACGTGTTACTATAGCATAATTTGTTTATTAACACCGTGAAATTCCCGTTATTTTCTCTTTCATAGATTCATTGATATTAAATTCTGTTAAATTTAATTTCATTTGAAGAGCCTGCTCAGTATTATGTACAGTATAGTTCTATCAGAGGTTATAAATTTGTAGAATGTTTGAATTCGGATTGGTTTATTACGCGTTTGTTTTTATGCTTAACAGTCACCCTTCGAAATCATGATGCTATTTCATCATTTATGTTTTATAGCTTGTTGAATTGAAATTTCCCGGGAACGATTTAAAGACAGTTTTAGTTCTTGTTCCCTTGGCCGAACTTCATGACTATTCCAGTACTTTACGAATACTGTCGTCAGGAACTGCGACTCTGAACATGCAGTTCTATGAATATATGCAAATGACATTGGCTGACCAACAGAAAGTGCTGGAAAGAATGCAGCACGTCTGAAACGATCACCTTTCGCCCAACAACTCTGACCAAATGATAGTTTCGATTAAGAAAAAATTGCAGCAAATCATTTTTTCAGTTTGTGTATGCAAACTTTTCTTTCATTTAAATTTTGTAGCCGTTTTTTTGCATACAGTATTAAAACTTCCTATTCTCTTGTAACTTACAAAATCTGAGCGTATATAAACTTGTTAATAAAAGTTTATGAATGTAATGCACACAAACATGCAATTATGATTTATTAAACACATCAACATTTAGAACTGTTATTCATTGAAATATTAACCTGTTTCACAGACCAAAGGTGCTAAATAAAGACTATCTTGTAAAAAACTGCAAATTGAGTAATTTTTGTTAATATTTAAGGCAGGCACTGAAAAAAGTATTGCTTGGAAATTTATTTAGAAAGGTAATATCGTGTAAAAATGGAAAAATTATAAACTCCATATATCATTTCCAAAACTGGAAAGCTGTTGATTATGAATAGCACAAGTGAAAAAAAATCACATTTGAAAACTGACAGGTGCAAATCACGTGTCGCAAACATCGAATAATACGACAAACCAGTCAGTCAGACGAAAAAATACAAGACAAATCTAGAATACACTATGGATTCTAGCCACTCTGCTGCTCTTTGAAGAGCTTCATGAGTTGGTTTGCTGCCTTAGCAATTTCATATGAGAGGTTGATGATTGTGCAACTGAACTGATCCCGCTTTTCAGTGCTGAGGTCACAGCTTTTGGCACAGTGTACGCTGAGCATCGCGCACGAGTCCATCATAGAGTTCAAGATCTTCAACAGCGGACCGGTTCGATGCTGTGCCGGAATCCCATTCATCATACGATCCACTATGAACTGAACTCGAATTACTAGTGATGCAAATCCGTCGTATTTTCCCGACTGAGCTATCGACAGAATATGGTAAATTTCTTTCGTTAATGCTTCGGTCTCCAAAACAAGGTTGTCCGGAAATGGCACTGACGAGGTGTCCGGTAAAAAGTCACTGATTAGTTCGGGAAGAGAAGAGTCTTGCACGTTCTTCCAAAACGGCTGTTCAGAAAACGATCTTTGTACAGTGTGGCTGTCCCCATTCACAACGCCAGACATCGACCGTCCATTCCGGTGACATTTCCGGTCGGCTTCCAAAACGACGACGGCGGCATTCTGACCGTTTCCTAACGTCGAAGTTGCAGCGCTGGCGGTGGAATATAGTGAGGAACGCATCAACGTTGACAAGCAACAGTTAATGTTATTGTTTTCCTCCGCAAGCTCTTCAGTCACTTTCCTCAAGTGAGCAACCTGCAATTACGAATGTTTTGATTCAGAGCACACAAAATTCGTAACTTTTACACTGCTATGTCGCCACTTTGGTCCTCAAAGTCAACAAGCCTCCCGTCTGAGTCATGAGGAGCGGGAAACGTTCAACGTCAGGGAATGCTTGGTAGGGGGAAGCACAGTGGAGTGCAATATCCCCAGCCGCTACACTTTCCGTGAATCCTGAAACGAACGGCTAACTAAAGAAGATGCGGTGAAGTTGTTCGGGGCCAATCACCCAATCAACAGACATATTTTTGATTACAAAAACCACATAGAATTTTAATTCTAATTGCAGAACCAAGACTAAATCAGTCTGACCCAACCTTTGACACCGAAGTTGTGGAAAAAGTGCCAGAACATATGTAGCTTGGGAGTACATTGGCTGCAGAAAGCGGAGGGATAAACGAAGTTTAGAGGTGCGGTGCGTTGACATTACCAGCTAGCAACAAGTCATTTCAGACCTGTAAGGACAAAGATGTTGGCAATAACACCAAGCTGCAGATACGTAGGGCCTGCATTATGAAAATCTTGCGCTCTGGCTTCGAGAGGGCAGCAATTAACAAATTTGAGGCAATCATAAAACTGGATGCGACGGAAATAAAGATGTTACGATTAATATTATAAGTAAAGTGGTACGATATGGTATCAAATGTTACTGTAAGAGAGTGATTTGAATATTCAACTAAAGTGACCGACTGGTTATGCTTGATATGCTGGGGCCATTGACACAAACCGCCTTTAAGAATGGATGATAACAGCCTTGCAGATGGTGGCAGTCGACCACCAGGAATACCTCGAAGATGACGGGGAGATCTCGTTAAAACTGACATGACACTGGGAGGGTGAAAAATGAGTAAACATTTAATGGAAGCAATCGATATGACTGAACGTGCATTGTATCGGAATCTCTAACCTAACCTAGCCGCTGTGTGCATGCTTGAATGAAGCCAGTCAACTGTCGCAGCAACTGTTGCCTTTGATTTTAGATAAGCAGAGCAAAACAGAAGAGAGTTAACGTTGGTCGTCCTCACTATTTCGAAGAAGATATTTCGCGTGGTAAAAGAACATGTTTATTTGGTTTTACAGCGACACTCATGTCGGCTCCAACAGCTGCTTCAGATTAACGATTTTAGTCAAAAAATAATCAAGCCAATTGTATCAAGAAATTTTGTTTAAACCCACAAAAAATATCGAAACTCCCAAATACCACGAAAAATAGACTAAAGGAAATGTAGACATATGAAGGACTATTAAAATCATAACTGCACCAGGAGATACTAAAATCACAGATAAAGATCTGTGATTCTTTCTGATGATTATTTAAACAATTTCAGAATAGGAAAGTCAGATGATTATACATAGATCTTGGCGAAAGAAGTTAAAAACATTGTGAAAACGGCAAACAAGTCAATTTGGAATATATGATCAAAGCTAGTGTATAACTTATTTTGGTGGCAGAAAAATTCACAAAAAGCAAATGAGGTAACAGTAAACAATAATCGACAAGTATATAATAAAAGTTAAATAGATATGGCAGAACAGCTGACCCGTTGTTAATGTACAGCAAATTCTGTGCATTAGCCTAATTACAATACATGCTAAAGTGTGGAAGCCGACAGCCTCAGAGTTTGAAATTCACCACGAATTAACGAGATTTTGTGAGTCACTGAGCATTTCAAGTATATTTGGGTCACGGGTAAATGCCAACGCCAAAATCGATCAAGAAAAGCTATATGAATTATGTGAACAGATCCCAAGTGAAAATGTCGTAAAAACTGGAAAACAGTTTCAGAACGTTACCTCCTTCCTCAATGCCTCATTGCTCTGCAATAGGTCGTCGAACTTGCGTTCAATGCCGCTGAAGCTAAACTTTAAGTTTAGAACGTCGTCAATAGTGGCGTAAGATTTGTCGGCCAGTGTCGAATACGGGTTATCGTTTGGCGCCAAAGCCGTATAAGCAGTGCCCAGTCCTTCGGAAGGAACTTCATCATAAATAGGACCGTCCGGCTCTGATCTGCTAAGCACCCGTTCTTCGCTAGCACTGGAGACGGTGCTGACTGACTCTTTGTTGTTGCTTTGAACTGCCATCAGTTCTGCTGTAGCGGACGTCTGCTCTTCGGACGTTTCTGCATGCAGCTGTCGCCTCTTTGCCTCCTTCAAAAGATCGATTATGAGGGAGGCGAATTCGCGACCGTTGAACTTGGCCAACTTTTGGCGACGTTGGTTTCTTGGAGCAGCGAGGTCTGAACTAACCGGCAAAAATGGAACCGCGTATCGTTCGTTACTCAGCTGAGACTGTTCGTCGATGCATGCCACCCTAAAAAAACATTATGACAAATGGAAATATTATACAAGGCATTCACGTGAGATTGATTTCACAAAAATATGACGAAGCAATCAACAAAAAATTTATACAATTAAACAGATGAATAATTCAGTTTTCATGATAATCATCTACTTTCTGAAAATATGGCAACAATATCATCATCTATTACTTTACAATGACACAAATATTTCTGTTAGTCGCTGATGCAAACAATCCGCGACTGAATACATTCATAATTAAAAGTGTTTTATTGCATTTTAACGTTATTCTGCATAAGAAAGGTCCAATTTACAGAACGACGAACAAATCATTCTGCAAGACCATATACCACCTCCATGATGAAAACAAAAGTTGCTTAACAATCTTGAAAATAAGTATTGACGCCTTCTTCGAAAAAAGGGGATATATTTCTGTGATGGAGAGCACGTTGAAGAGCTCTGAGCTAGTACATAGAGACTCGCCTGAAAAGTATCAAAGAACGGATATTAATCTTTCGGCGGATGCAATCGCAGAAGGTGAAAAAAGTATGAAATGGCCAAACTGCTGTAATAGATGACATTCGCTGATGCGCTCAGAACTTCAGACAAACAAGGCATGTTGTGGCTAA